GGGTTTCGGGGTTTAGGGCTTTGAGGTGATAGGATTTCACAGTATTCGGCAGGGTCTTTAAAGGGCTTGACAGGGTGTTGATTCGGTTTGCGGGGTTTTATAGGGCTTCATAGGGTTCGTTTTCGGGTCGAGGGTTTTGGGTTGTAGGGTTCAGCAGTTCGGGCGCTGCAGCAGGACAAAAAAACTGTTGTAGTAGGGGTCGGAAGAACCGCCGCCCTATATGCGAGCAAGACTCTGGCTTTGTGCACAGAGGACAGTGCTTTGAAGCCGTAAACCTTAAAGGCTAGACCCTAAACCCTAAACCCCATACAGCCTCAACCCCAAAATTGTAAAGCCGAAGACCTCACGCCCAGAAAAGTCTTCACTCCGAGAAGCTTTCGGTGCAGCACTGAAAGGAGTCCCGGTAACCTCCTAAACCGTAAACCCGAAACTCTAAACCGTAAGCCGTAAACCCTAAAATCCCTAAACCCCAAACACTAAAAATCCTAACCCCTAAACCCTAAACCCTAAAAGTCCTAACCCCCAAACCTTAAACCCTAAACAGTAGACCGTACATCCTGCACTTTAAATCCTAAGCCCCGAAACCGGACCGAATCCATGCAAGTCTCTCTCAGCAACGGGGATCTTCCTTTTGCAGAGAGTCCTTCGTCGGAATCCCATTATGTTGCATCTATATCAGGGTCTCCTGTCAGGGTTCGGGGTTTAGGGCCAAGGTTTGTTAGAGCTCATGAACTACCCAGAGAACCCAATACCCCTTTATTAAGGAATATACCTTAAACCATAATATGAAGGCCCCTATAGTTTAAGGAATATTCCTTAATTGAGGGGTGTTGGGTTCTCTGGGTAAGAGAGCCAGTCTGAAGATGTCCGCTTTTTTCACTTGGTTCTGACCCAGTGTATGAAGCTCTCCAAGGCGTACCTGCCTTCGAAAGATTACCAGCGACCCCTTCTAGTCTAGGACATTTTCAGGTGAGTAGTTACCGTTGTAGGAGCCTTATGGAAGGTCTATATACCTTATGGAAGCCTGATAGGCCCATTATACTATAATCAGAATAAGGAACCCCCAAAATATCCCGAAAGAGTATCGGTATTTCGGTTGGTTAAGGGTTGGTTTAGGGTCTTAGAGTTGAGGCTTGGGGGGTTTTCGGCTCGGGGGTTGGAAGGTTTGGGCCTTGGGAGCTGGGATCAGGGCCGGGGGTCGCTTTTAGGGTTCCTCAAAAGGGATCTATAAGGGTTTCGATATGGTTTCTAAAGGGTTTCTTTCAGGGCTTTAGAAACCCTAAACCCTAAACCAAACCTTAACTCTTAGGGATATTTTGGGGGGTTCCTTAGTCCTTACTATAATGAAAAAGTAGAATGGGCCCCAAAACCTATTCTGGCTCTTAAGGCCCCGATATCAGCCGTCCAGCGCTGAACCGTTTTGCTTCCGGAGGTCGATGTCCAAGACACGACGAAGCAGGATATGTGGCTGCCGCTGGCCTGGGGCAGTCCACCTGGGTGTAGGTTTAGGTTAAGGGGCCCCCAAATGGACAGACGCATAAACTTATGCATTCTACAGGGATATCTCTACCTAGCTGGGCTTCATTAAAAAGGGGTTTTAACTGAGATGCCCCTCTCCATGCTTTTGCTTACATGCTGCTTTGGAACTTTATTAGGATTGGCTTGCAGGTTGAAAATTTAGGGTTTTGGATTTAGCCTTGTTGGTTCCTAAAGTTCTTGGACAAGGTACGGACACCTCACACACCTTTCTTACAGCTTGCTTGTAGTAGATTCAAGTCCTCCGATGAGATTCGATGGTTCGCGACTGCATGGGTCTTAGAGCTAATATAGGGGGCTTAAATGTTCACCAAAACTATTCTGTGGGGTTCCTTGTTTAGAATTCATTATAGTCCAATAAACCACAAAACCCTATTCTAATTATCAAGGCTTCTACATTATTCCTTTCGCACGAGGAAGTACCAGGCTAAGAGCTGCACCGGATAAAAGAACGGTCCGTAATGCTAAAAGTGTAGGGTTTAGGGTTTAGGGTTTAGGGTTTAGGGTTTAGGGTAGGATCTTTCCTAGAAACAGAGCCCCACTCTGAAGAACACCATAACATGGCCGAAAGCCTACCCTAAACCCTAAACCCTAAACCCTAAACCCTAAACCCTAAACCCTAAACTAAAGCCTACAGTCCCCCAAAACCCTAAATCCACAAACCGATCCTACAGCGGGACGTCCTTGCAAGAGGACATGCAGGGTTTACCCTCGAAGGCTTCGGGTCTCTCGTACTTGCAGGGTGCTAATCGTCTTGAGGAGTTTAGTTTACCTTACCATAATACGGGTTTACAGTAACTTATAGGGGTTTCTTATTATAGTAATTTAAAGCAAAGTCCGTAAAGAATAACCCAGCTCACGGCAGGTTTAGGGTTGTGGACAGAACTGGGTGGTTTGTCGGGCGGTAGCAGGATGCACATGCGGATAGCAGCTGTGGCTTGGAGATTTCTGGACGTCGTGGAAGCAGAGCGAGGGAACAGGCTTCAGGAGCTGCAAGCATGTGGGTGGGCTGCCGTAGTAGGCAGCCCTCAAACTGACAAGGTATCTGCACGCTTTTGCTGCGTCCACTTCCTCGCACCGCGACAGTGCTTAAAGTCTGCGTTTAGACTCTATATCTATATCATTGCCACCTGTTGCAGCCCTCGACTTCTTAACACCCTAAACCCTAAACCCTAAACCCTAAAGCTCCTGAACCCCATGGGAAAAAACCGAGCTCCACCAAACTGCCTGCCTCAGCCGGAGGCTCTGACGGTTAGGGTAATATAGCGGCCTTAATAATGATCCATTTTATTTTTGGGGAGTCCTCATTATAAGTCTGGTATAACACATTAAGGCCCCCTATATTTTCCTAAACACTAAAAACTCCTAGACCCTCAACCCTAAACTCCTGAAGCTCCTAAGACTCCAAACCTCCTAGACCAGCCGTAGGCCCTAAACCACGCAACTTCCTCATGGCTTCCAGACCACAAACCCTACATCCCTCAACCCTAAAATGCTAAACCCTAAACCCTAAACCGCACGAAGCCCAAACGAAGCTTCTTCTTTGGTTCGATCTTCGCCCATCATAGAGCTCGGCTGAGTTTCCAATACCAAAGCCTTCATACCATCCCCCCTAAACCCTAAACCCTAAACCCTAAACTCCTGAACCCTATAATTACCCCTAAACCCTAAACTCCTGAACCCTATACCCCTAAACCCTAAACTCCTGAACCCTATACCCCTAAACCCTAGACTCCTGAACCCCATACCCCTAAACCCTAAACTCCTGAACCCTATAGATGCAGAAGCACCCAGAGGCCCGAACCCCACGAATTCCTGGGCGAGGCCTGGCCTTTTGGAGGGGTTTTCCAAAGGGTTTTAAAGGGTTTAGGGTTTTAGGGGTTTCGGGGTTTAGGGTTCAGGGTTTTAGGGTTTAGGGTTTTAGGGTTTAGGGTTTCAGGGGATGATGAAGTTTTGCTGGGTTGTGTCAGGGGTTGTGCAGGGGTTGGAAGGTTCGACACTCGAGCGTAAGGTTTTTCTTGCGCTTAAAAGGTTTAAAATCATTCCGCTAAAAGTGTGGTCGTGCTATGCGTCTAGGGTTTAGGGGTTTGGGGTTTGGGGTTTAGGGTTTGGGGTTTAGGGTTTGGGGTTCAGGAGTTTAGGGTTTAGGGGATTAGGGTTTGGGGGTTTAGTGTTCAAGAGTTTAGAGTTTAGGGAAGTTCAGGGCTTAGGGGTTTAGGGGTTTGGGGTTTGTGTCTTAGGGTTCTTGGGTATGTAGGGATCCCTAAACCCTAAACCCTAAACCCTAAACCCTAAACCCTGGTCGGGGTGAATCCGGGAGCCACGGCGGCTTCATGAAGGTTTATGTAAGGGTTTACGAGGGTTTATTTGGGGCCCCAGGGCCCTAGGGTTTAGGGTTTAGGGTTTAGGGTTGGGCCCTAGCCATTTGGAGTCAGGGTGAGGGCTGTCTGGGAGAGGGCGCGGGCCCTATGCCGTTGCACTTTGGGTGGGCGTTTGAGGGATTTGGTGTCGTTGGTTTGGGCATTGACAGGTACTTGCCTCTGTCACCCTAAACCCTAAACCCTAAACCCTAAACCCTAAACCCTTACGTTTGGGGATTTTGGAGTCTTCGACGGTTCAGGGTTTCGGACTTGGGTTTGGTGCTTCAAAGGGCTTAGCCTGACGGGTTTTGATGCTGCTGAGCGCGAGCCAGTCAACGTGGCTAGTGCGCTTGAACCCAGAGAACCCAATACCCCTTAACTAAGGAGTATACCTTAAACTATAGGGGTATGATTTAAAGTATATTCCTTAATTACGGGGTATTGGGTTCTCTGGGAACCGTCCAGTAAGCATTCGACCTTACTTGCTCAACTGCTTTCCTTGAGTCGTCGCTCGCTAGTTCGGAAGCGAGCACTGAAAGACCGAGCCAATGTTTGTTGTATGATGATGTGCAGGTGTGACCTTTGTTACGACCCCCACGACCTAGCCTTCATCTCTCTTGTTCTGACATGAGCTTCGCGAGCACGGAATCCTTCCAACACGCGTTGTTGGAGCTGAAACCTTGGTGTTTGTCTTCTGACGTTTTGCTGTCTCGGTTCTTTGAGGATCTGCGTATGTTGGTTTAGTGTCCTGGGTCCGGGTCTTGACGTCTGAGGGTCGAATTACCTTTAAAGGGAGGGTAGATACAGGGCTTTCTCGAAAGCCATGAACGGCCCGAACTTGCTACTCCAAGTGGGTCATATGTCTCTGCACTGTCAGGTTAAGGGTTCAGGGTTTGGTGTTCAGGGTTTACTGTTCAGGGTTCGTCAAAGTTCTGCTATGACCCTGCCTATATCTACCGAAGATTCCACTCATCCCTAAACCCTAAACCCTAAACCTTCAACCGCTACACCCTAAAACCCCTAAACCCTAAACCCCCAAAACCCCTAAACCCTAAAACCCTTAAGCCCAAACCCCTGAACCCCTAAAACCCCCAAGCCCAGCCCTCACTGGTCTACCCGGATCAACCCCGCATGCTTGTGGCGGAAGAGGCCGTCTTCTGCCCTGACGCGGAGGCTGAGGCCGAGGACGGCAGGGGCTTGTGATGGGCGTTATACTTAGTACGTCGTCTTCCTCGTCATCGTGGCCGCGCTTTTGAGCCCAGGCGCGCCGGCCCGTGAACCCTAAGCTTGTTGAATGTGGAGAGGACGATGGTTACTTGGTCGGAATCCTCCTGAACGGACGCGATTTGAGCCCGGGCTCTTGGATGCCGGGGTTTTTGGGGCTCAAGGTTTTGGGAAGAGGCCGAGGGATTTGTTCGGGGCTCCTCTTAACCTGCATCGCCAGAATTTCAACCCCCAAAGGCTTAAACCCGAAACCCTAAACCCTAAACCCTAAACCCTGAACCCCCAAAGGCTTAAACCCGAAACCATGTCGGACCGGACTCCTCAGACGCCTCAACAGACGCCTCAGCCGAGATCCTACGCCCCAAGTGCCATGTAAGCCGAAGCCGTATGGTTTACACCCCAGGGTTTAGGGTTTAGGGTTTAAGAAGCACCGATGCGAAAATTGAACTATGTTTCGATATGGCTACAGTGCCGGCACGGTAGCACAGCCATAGGTTTTCTGCAGAATACTCGCTTGTTTGGCAGGCATCAGGCCAACAACTGTTTTAGTTTTTACTACAGGCATCCAAGCAACATGAGACCGCCAGACACCATCAGTGAGTCATACAACCCCCCGTATGATTTCAGTTTGATGTTAGTGTTCTGCAGCACCTCCAGCAAAGTATGACCACGCATGAGACTAGGTCGTTAGCTTAGGGCTTGCTGTTCATGAGCGTCGCATCGTTTTCCGACTGTTTCCCAAGAACACACAAGTGCGTACTAGTGTTCAGTTCGGAAGTAAGCCATACACCCCAAGCCACAGGTGCTAGACTCCTGCTAGATCTAACCCTCAACCCTAAACCCTAAACCCTAAACCCTAAACCCTAAACCCTAAACCCCAAGGTTGTGAGGTCGTGGTTTTCGATGCCCACAGCATCCAGAAAGGGCCAGTGTGCCGAAGCCCTGGGCGGGGTGGGGCTTTAGGGTTTGGGGCCTTATGATGTATAATAGGGTTTAGAGTTTAGGGTTTAGGGTTTAGGGTTTAGGGTTTAGGGTTCAGGGCTCGGCTTTTCCGAGTTTCTGGTTTACGGTTTAGCGTTTTTTTCCAGTACGCTGTGCAGGATGCTTTTTCCACAGTACCATTGGCACGGCACAAGTACGCGACGGGCGCAGCATGAAGAAGCACGCCGCAACTTGTTTTGAGCAAGAGGAACAGTGATCGAAATCGCAGTAGTCATACGGTTGATGAGAGAAATCCTGCATTACCTTAAGGACCCTAAACTATGGGAATTCTGGTACATTCCTTAACCTGGGAAATGCAGGATTTATATAATCAATCGTATTGTTTACTGTAGACCCCCTATTATGGTAACTTGAGATACGTTCCTTCAACAGAACCAATACAGAAATCAGATCATATTGTTGACTGTAGACTGTAGACCCCTATTATGGTAACTTGAAATACGTTCCTTCAACAGAACCAATATAGAAATCAGATCATATTTACTGTAGACCCCTGTTATGGTAACTTGAAATACGTTCCTTTAGAAGAACCCAGGCTCTCTCGGACGTACTTCAAGATTCGCAGGAAGTAGACCTGGACACCTCCACAGCCCTCCAAGTGGCCGGCCTGCCATGCCCCGAGGGTCAGCAGCGCGATGTGCAGCGTCACCACAGGCGGCTTTCCCTGGCGCAGATCCATGGACTCGTTCCACATCTTCACCTGGGTTGTCGGTTTGGGCCCCCCCAAAGTATGTACGAATAAGTATCTCTATAGAACCATAAAGGGAAAGTCCCAACGCGCCGCCCAGTCACCAGGCGCATCGCGAAGAAGGCATCGGGATGCTGCTCAGAGAGGAGCTGGAGCTTGGGCGCCAGGCGCGGGTGCAGAAGGGCCTGCCAGACCCCACGCTGAGGATCCCACTGCTGCTCTCCCACCTGGTTCTGCCGGAAGGTGACAGGAACCAAGTCGAAGTCCCTCTGGCGGTAGTAGTTCTTGATCTCCACCGCGAAGTCCTTCTTCACCACCTCGGCCCTCTGAAACCGAAATCGCCCGGAGCTCCTCTTCAAGTCCAAGATCGCACCATGCAGCTCCTCCACCATGTCCTCGGCTCCATTCTTTAGGCATAGGAAGATGTCGTGGTCCGAGTGGGTGGTGTCCAACCCCATGGCCACGCTGCCCCCGCGGCACACGGTATCAAGGCGCCCGCAGAGCGCTGGGTGGCGGCGCAGGAAGCCGATGATGCTGCGCCGCAACTGGTGGCACCGGCCCTGCCCACGGCACAAAGCCTTGGCCGTCAGCAAACTACCAAGGACCTCACCGTGGCTGAGTGGGCTTTGGGAGTCCCAGCTCTTCGCCAGCTGCCTGCAGAAGCAAGCTACCATGACCGCGAGGAAGAGATCGCTGGAAGTGCCAGACTGATCAGGCTGAAGCACTGCTGAGTACAGCGCGGGCACGGCACCGACCGATTGAAGCAGAGACTGCATCCTCTCAGGGGCAACCGAGCCATCCGCCAACTCCAAGCCGTAGACGAGATTCGAGACGAAGACGGACAGGAGGTGCTGGCCCGACGTCATGCGAATTATCCGCTTTCCCTGCAAGGCCCCCATGGGCTCTCGCGAAATTGCTTTTCTGCAGCACCATGACACGGTGTCCTCAACGGAATAGTTCTCAACATGCCAAGGTTTAGGGTTTAGGGTTTAGGGTTTAGGCAGTGTCCTCAACGGAGTAGTTCTCAACATGCCAAGGCCAAACATGCATCTCGAGATCCTCAGGCACCGGCCAGGGATCCCGCGTCTGAACCGGAGCATTGGAGGCCAAGGACTGCATTTCCAAGAAGACTTCCTCCTCCTCCTCGGAGTCCCACTGTCCCTGCTCTCCGAACTCGTTTTCGTCACAGGTGCTGCCCTCTGGGGCCATGGTGCCTTCGATGCCTTCAAGCAGCCAGAACAGCGCTCCCAGACGGCTCCGTCGTCCTGGCGTCGCTTGCAGGGACGTCGGCCCAAAGAGACGGGCCGACTCCAGCAGTACGCCCACCTGGGTTACTGCTAAGGAACTTAATTTAAATTGCCATAATAAGAATAAGAAATCTTGTAATTTACGATGGGTCCCGATTTTGGTACCTCAACATATGTTCCTCAACAAGAACCCAGCCACAGAGGGCCACTCAGATGAGGTGCCGGAAGTTGCAAGAAAGCCTGCCATATCTCGCTTCCGTTGCTCCACGTTGTCCGACGGCTTCCACCTGCTATGAAAGGTAAATGGCACGGCCTTCACCTTCCAGCGGCTTTTGTTCTTCGTGTCCCCGGGCTTTATGTAGCAATATCCCATGTACTTTGTAAGCTTTGTCAAGCCCGAAGACAGCATATGCAATGAGAAGCAGGACCGACACACCTTTCTCAAATTCGGGTAGCATGGTTGCAACAATTCCTGCTGGCAGTAGTTCATGAGGCACTCCATCAGCGACGCTGGTGGCTTCTGCAAAACTGGAGAAATCAACACACAAACGCTTCCGTCTTCTACGACGGAAGTCAGGCTCTGAAAGATCTGCTGCTGCCAGTGGTGCGCCGCCTTGGCCGAAGGTGCAGCCACCAAAGTCACCAGGCTTTCATGTTGAATCTCTCTCTGCAGCATACCGAGAATCTCAGTATCTTCGCCGTCTTTCACTGTCTCCCGCAACTGCTGCAACAGCTGGAGCAAAGGAGTCCGTAAGATGCCCTTCTTCATGTTCTGCCAGAGAACTTCTCGTAGCCTTGCGTCACTGATGAAGCACGTCTCCTGCGTCTCTCGTGGCTTCTGAAAGATGCAGATGTTCATCGTGTCGCATCTGTGTCAGTTCCAATGTTAAGTATTATTGTGGCCCAACTACTACACCTCCTGCTCCTGCTGCTCCTGCTGCTGCTGCTGCTGCTGCTGCTGCTGCTGCTGCTACTACTACTACTACTACTACTACTACTACTACTACTAGTAGCAGCAGTAGCAGCAGTAGCAGCAGTAGTAGCAATAGTAGCAATAGTAGGAGTAGTAGGAGTAGCAGTACCAGCAATAGTAAGCGGCAGTCGCCGTCGTCGTGGCAGCCATATTACACTATGAATGTGCTAGAATACTGAAGAGCTCAAACCATGAAGGCAACAAACTCAAAACCCATTTCTGTCCTCACTGAGACCGTCTGGCAAAGGGCAGCCGGTCTTTGGGGCACTGCGTAGGTGGACATATCGGCATTGCGATTCAAAGCGGCACTGGCCCTTCGTCCAGTCCTGGAGGCTATCACAAACTGCTTAGCTCGGCCCGTGTAGATTCAGGGGTTTAGGGCTTAGGGTTAGCCCTAAACCCTAAACCCTAAACCCTGAAAGCCCTAAGTTTAGGGTTTGATCTCGCAACCCAAAGCTGCTTGGGATGTGATGGCTCTCCGAGTCCGAGTCCTTGCAGATACCTCTTGCAAAAGACCCGCCGTATTTCTGCTGGCAGCGCGCCGCCGCATCGGAAGCAACGGTTGGGGAAAGATCTTGTGGTGAAAGCATGCTGATGCGATGGAGGTTGTGAATGTGGTCCCCCTCCTTTGCTTCAACTTAACCCTAAACCCTAAACCC